TCCGGATGAAGCTCGCTAGAGCATCTCCAAAGGACCTTTTCCCCATCCTCGTGAGGTGTAAGCAGTCCCTTGCCAGAAGTCCATTGGCAAGAAACGAGTGCCGTGGTCGAGGAACCCAAAGCGTTCCTTCTGGCACCACACCCTAAGCCAGTCGTTCACCTTGGAGGCCCTCCTGTCCCTTCCTGGCCCAAATCTTCAGACAGGTAAGACTGATGAGAAGGCCACTTGGGCCTTCAGCTCCCTGAGTTTCTTCCCCAAGGCCTCAAAGTCCCTGGTGGTCGCAACCACACCCTGCCTTGCCACATTGTTTGTGCCCACATGGATCACCAGGAGCGGCTGGTGTCCCCCGGAGCGAACAAGACGCTCCACTCTGTCCATCACATGCCAGATGTGTGCGCCTGGCAGGCAGCAAACCTCCCTTGTCTCCAGGTTGGGGCGGCACACCGCCACCTCAGTGCCCCTCAGCAGGGAGTCCCCAACAACAATCACCCACTGCCGTACCTTCCCCGTGCTGGTGGGCAGCCATGCCCTGGCCCTCACCTCTCCCACAGCAGCCCCCTTGCAGCCTGATATCCCAGTCAGGCCTTTAAAAAGACCTTTTTATTCTTCCAGTATTTTAGGAATTAATTGGTTTTGTCCTGTTTTTATCCTGTTTTACTGCTATTTTAGATGCAGTGTGCTGTGTGTCGTCATTATGTTTTTGTTCTTGGTTTCTTTTCTTGTAAGCTGCCCAGAGACTTTTTTTTAGTAATGGACAGCAGAGAAAATAAATAAATAAATAAAATGCATCAATGCCTTGCACTTCCATTGTTTGAACTTCTGTTGAAGTACAGTAATGGCTGAAGGCGGTATGTGGGAGAGTTTCAAACACCTGCATAACATGTACAGTTCCCCACAATAATGTGCATATTGTTCAGTTTTGAAGTTTCTATGCTTTGTCTAATGGCCAAAGTCAACATACATAGCAGCAAATTCCAGTGCTACCAGCTGTCATGCGGCTGGCGCTCCTTCCCAGTGAAAGCAATCACACCAACTGATGCTACAGAAGTCTTTATTCTACACAGTATTACAATTACAGTCACGTAAGCTAGGAAGTTGTCCTCTTGTTCTGATTAAGTTCAACTTACACTGTGCTTTTGAATTCTTCTCGGCTGTCCTTCTGGAGGCAGATCACTATAACTCCTCTCCCTGCTTTGCTCAATCAATCTCGAATCTAATTGTCCTAATCTGTGTGTACGTCTGCAGGAACAAGCATCCTTGATCATTTCAACTATGTTATCTCCTAAATTCCCATATTGTTACCTGATGCAAATGTTTCCTCAGCAACCACTAAATTGGTCTCTGTATGCTCTGCTGTTTTGGCAACTCCCTGCATTTCCTTACCTCCTGTACTTTCATTCCCATCGTCTGTGTACCTGGGGAGTAAAACTCGTTCTGCGGGCACCAGAAATACAGCTTCATCCACCCTCTGGTTCTCATGGGAAGTTTTCTCCTCTTGTGTGCACACCAAGGACTCTTCTGAGTCCGCGCACACAACACCAGCATTTGGTACAGTGTGAAAACTGAGGTTTGGTAAAATTTGGCTGTACGTAGATATTTTGCAGTTGCTTTATATTTTTCCATACATGTAATGCAAAATACATAGAGGATCTTTTTGTTATTTTGTAAGTTTTGGAAACTTCTTATTTAGAGATGGTACATTAATTTGCTTTAGGAAATCTGACCAAGAAAAGAAACAAAAAGCAAGGAGAACCATGAAGATGTACACTAATTCAGAAAAAGAAATACACAGAACTGAATTTCAGCACTTTCTGGAACAGTAAGCGAATTGATATCATAATCGATCATTGTCTGTTCTGATATTTTAACATTCATGTGTTGAAGCCTGATGTGGATACACACTATAGTTGATTAATCCCATTCACAGAATAGATAATTCAGGTTTACCTATTGGTGCTTTTTCTATTAATTTATTTAGAATCATCAGTATATCTGGTATGTTTGGAGAATTTGGGGTGCTGGTCAAAAGCTTCAAGATTAAGGATACATTTGTACTTCCTTTTAAGAAACAGTAATGTTGAAACATCCCTCCTCCATCCTTGAAATTAACACCTCACACTGCTTACTTTCCCTCTGCTTACTAGATTCATTTTTAAATGCTATTTATGTATAGCCCATCTCTTGGCCAAAGGACACAGCTCACAGTTAAACAGTAGAAAATCCAGACAGTAAAACTAGGTCCATCTTAAAATACAGCCCTTAAGTAGAATAATGTAGCTTTAAAAGCGGAAATTAAAAGCAAGTATCCACAACCTTTATCTGGTGTTCACCAATAGCACTGGATATATTTAGCTGGACTCTAGAATGCCCTCTGAAAAGTACTGGCTTTGTCATTCTGCAAGATTTTGTTCTGCCATTCTGTACAGCTGAAGGATCACCAGTCTTAAAATTGCTCCCAGTGGATAGGATTAGTTTTCCCAGATCTGGAACTATTTTCACTTTAACTTAATAAGAGCTCCCCTGAGAGCTTGGACTTACAGCTCTTAAGCCATAAATGGTGGAAGCTCTACTTTGGGTTATAGCAGTGCTGGGTTAATTGATATTTCTAATGAAGAGTACCGTTGCCCTGTTTATAATGTGCCATTTTCATTCCTTTAAATGTTGAAGACTCCATGCAAACAGAGCTGTATATGCATGTTTTCCTTTGTTTAAAAGGTGCACCACAGCATTGCATTTGCCTTTTGCTGCCAGAAGACTATTCACTGGAAAAGGGGTGGAAATCTTTCTTTTGAAAGGCTTGGAAAGAGATCAGTTGGTAAGAAAAAATGAAAATAAAATTGGGAACTTTCTATAATATGTCATTGTATGTCATTCCAAAACACTGCATGAACCTATGCACTGAGATGTGTTCTGTTTAATTCCTTGGCTTTAGTTACACTTTCCCTTCAGTAAATGGTGTGTTCTGGCCTATATGAAGAAGCTGGCTCAGTAGCCGCCCAGCATGAATGCTTAGAGGAAAATCACAAGAATGGGAGGCAGCTGTTCCTGACAGCTCCTTGTGAGCAGCATTACTCCAGCTTCTGTGTCCGCATAAGACAAGGACCCTCACCCACCCTCCCGCAACCCTTGTCCAGCTCAGGTCTGGCTTTTATGTGGAAATATCCCCTGCCAATTTGTCCAGAGTCGCTGTAGAATTGTACTTGAAAAGCAGCCAAGCTACTCTGTGCTGGTGTCATTGGTGGGGTCTTAGCAGGAAAGTATTGGTGGACATAGTATGCTTGATGAAAACTGAAAGTGCACCAAAAAACTACTCTAGTCTTCATTTTAGTTGTATAGTAGTACCCACATGGAATGCACAGAAATTCATTGACTTGCCCCCCGCCCCATTCCCCATTTTCTCATTGAAGTCAATTATGTCTCTTGACTTTTGTTGGCTGATACAGAAAGAACTGAAATCAGGAATTTTGGTGGAATGAGAACATGCTACCATCTTTACTATATTGTCCAGTGTTGGTGTGATAGGGAAAGGTTTTCTCTCTACCACATTTTCCCATTTTGTTTCTCCCATGTTATTTCCCATTTGCTTTCTCCTGTCTTAATCTATGTGAGTGACACTTTTCTATAGAGGAAATGACAGAGGACGCCAGTGAAGCCAGTGCCACTGGCAGAAGTTCAGCAATCTTCTTTCACTTCTGTGAAAGAAGTAAAATGCAGGCTCTCATACTGACAAGAACTTCCCTAATGAATCATTACGGCTAACTCAAATAGTACTTGAAAACAGAACTTATATATATCTAGTCATAAAAATTGAAGCACTATTGAAGTTACTAAACTGGAAAGTGTATCTGTATGTCTTGCTGGATCGTAAGAAAGGCCTCTAAGTTCTGGAACAAAGCAAATCTTTACTAGCAGCACATGTGTAACACAACAATGGCATATACTGGATAATCTCTGAGCCCAAAGAATTATCAAAGTAATAACTTGCAATGGGAAAGCTGATTTCAGAAATGAAGCCTGGTTTATGAAAGAGAAACTTAAAATGTATATATGCTTACTTTTGCATATGTAATTTTGCTCAGGGCATGAGACTAGAGACATAACTTCGACAAACCCAGTTTCCCTCTTTGTGGATGAAGGGGATTAAATATTTAAGCATGTGTCTAAATGACCAGAGGGTGCTTTCTATCTGAAACAGTCATTTGTTTCAACCTTAGCAGTAGAAGAGCTACTTGTCATTTTAGTGAACAACTGACTCTGTTACATGTGTGGCAATTTTTAGTTTAATATTTATTGCGTCACTATTTCCTTTTTGTCCTAGAGATTGCTTGCTTGAATTTTGTTATGTAATAAAAGAACTGTTTTATATTATTAAATTTGCACTTAAAGTAAACCTTAAAGAAACCAAGCAAAGCCAATGAAACCTTTTTTGTTAACTTTCATAGTAGAAAGTTTATTTATTTTGTTCCATTTTAAATAATTTTTGCTCAAATCTGATCCAACTAAATTCAAATAAGACTTAGCTACAGAATGTCTGAAGAAATCTATTTGACTTCATTAAGTCTACTTTGTACTCCTCTGAAAAAAAGCAGTAATTATTTATTTACTTATTTACTGCTTTTAGATTTCAGTTAATCAAGGCTAACTGTTCACACTATATTCTGCTAACTTCCACTGCAATGTGTGTGACAGAAGACTCTTGGAATGCTTTTTACTAATTACTTTGGCTAATAATATAAGAAATGGAGTGAGGATGTTTAGAAATATCTGGGATTTGAGGCAGAACATAAACTCAGCTGAAAGATTTCAAACTATGATTTTCTTGTTATTTCTGTACAGTTTTCTTCTGTCAGTAGTTTGAGTTTGTTATTGTGTTAATTAGTGTTATTTTAGTGTTTCTACCATATTTGTAAGCAGCCTTGAGTGCCTTAGTTTGATCATTTTATAAATGAATGAATGTGTTAATAAGTTTAAATTATTAAGCATTCGTTTCCAACATGAATGTGAAACAAAACATTCATTTTTGTAACAGATTTATGTTTCATGTGGAGAACAATGGATTGATCCCCAGTGGACAGAGGCTCAGCATAAGAAACGTCTCCAACTTAGTAACTTAGCATCTGATATAACTGCTATTCGTGCCTATTGTATCATGAGGAACACAAAAAGTGAGCAAATTTCTATGCTGTTTTTGCTAAATGTTTGTGTTTGATATATGTAAATAAAAATATTTTTGTAAGATATTTACCTTTGTTGAGGTTTGCACGACTTTTTTAAAGCTTGATGGGTTGTGATATGTGCCAAGTGATGTGGAATAATCAAGCCATGGCTGCAGCTTGTGATATGATCTGAACTCTGCCAACTTGAGTTGCTGCCATGTTAACAAAGCTCTCAGAATGTAGAGTCATGGATGGTTTGTTAACTGTACCAACAACCCACCCATAGCCAGGTTCAGATGACGTGACAGGCCACATTTGTGGCTTTCATTTTCAAAATAGTTGCATGCACTCTGCATAGGCCACCATGGCTTAAATAAACCACAGTGAACTTCTTGATTGTGCAAGCTGAGTGTTTCAGTGGGATGTTTATCCAGGTAAGGTAAGTTCTAATCAGTTTTGTAGGAGAGTTAAGCTCATATTTCTTAAGAGTGAAACTCAGAAATGTTCAACTTAATCTGAGATGTGTCCAAATGTCAATTTTTCCAGACCATAGCTGACCTGTCCCTGCCCCCCTCCTTTTGGGTGTTGTATGTAACTTCTAGGTTTCAGCTTTGTACCTTCAGATTGGTTCATATAGCAGATGCCTTCTAAAGTTGACATTACTGAGCAAATAACTTTTGTATAGCTAATGTTTATTTGTTCATTACATTTCTATACTATTCAATAGCCAAATGGTTTAGAATGGGGGAGCAGAAATAAAAACAACAGAGCAACTTAATTCTGTCCTTTTTACTAGGCATAGTATAGCAAATGGAGATGGGTGGATGATGGGAGGGAGGGAGGGAGAGAATATACTCGGCTATATATATGAAATGAAGTATTGTTTAACTTCTGTTCTGTGCTGGAGAGATTATGCTGGAAATCTGTTTGCAGAAACATCTATAATCATGAAGGAGATAGCATATTCACAGTAGGTATGAAAATTATGTAACTTATTTAAGAGTAAACATCTTTGCATACCTGTTTTCAGATCTTGCTTTAGGTGTCAAGAACAGCATTGCTGTTGGAGCCAAACTAACTGTTGAAAGAATTACAGTGAAATTTGAAGAAGAAAAAGTGGCTGAAGAGCCTGAAGAAAGACAAGCTGAAGAAAACCCTGAGAAAGTAAAAGATGATATAGATAAGTGCCTGTAAGTAATCTGCTGTGACAATCAGAACAGCTGTCACATGCACATGCGAAGTTACGCTTGTTGTGCAGGTAGTAGACAATTTAGAAACAAAATTCCATTTATCGAGTGTTTATACTATAGCAATTAGGATGCAGACATAATTCCCACTCATTTTTATATGGCATCTTACCTCATTATTTCCTCTTTATAATTTTAAAACATTTGTTTCTTTGTCTACTTACAATGAATGGAAAAATGCACACACACAAAAGTAAACATTCTCTTGGGTGGCACAAGCCTATAGAATACAAGCTCGTTAAGGTAGTTGGAGGAGCCCTGTTGCTATTTTAACTCTGTTGATTTTAATTGATCTTTCTATTTATTTATTTCTGTACTTGTTTGGTAATTATAGTAGATATTATAGATCAAAGTTAGAAAATTTATATATTAAATTCTGTGGAAAGAAATTGGAATAAGACATTAAAATCTTTTGCAGTAGTGCTTAATTGCACTGGATAATGCCCAATTTTATGAATTTCCTCCCTTCTTAACAACTTACTCTTATGACCAACATATTTAATAATAAAGCAATTTAAATTTAATTGGTAATAGCCATAACAGAGTTCTGTGGCACCTTCAAGACTCATGAAATAATCCTAACCCACAGATCTGCTGATTGGAGGGGGTTAGGAAGAAGTATATGTGTCCCTTCACTGATGGAAGGGCACATCTGTCCTGTCAGTTACCAGTATATCTGTGGAAAGCTATATAAGTATAGATCTACTGCCAGTGGTACCCGCAGAATGAATTGCCATCTCATGGTCTTCACTCTCACCCCACAAAGGGTTGTTCTAGGAATTTCCTGTATTACATTAATTGTAGCATGTCCCTAACACACACCCCTTTTTCAGATGGATGTCTATATAAAATGTTTTACAAAATAACATTAAATATTCTTTTTCATAATAAAGTATTGATCTGTATCCAGCACTTAATTTGGTTTTATGACATGATAGAAAATGTGATTTTTCTGATTCTGATACATTTTGCTGATAGTGATGTTACATGAATATATGGGGAAAATGCAGTTAATATGGTAGGCATGTCATGAGCAGAGCCAGCTGGAACTGGGGGTCAGACTAAATAGCCTGGCAGGCACCTTCTGACTCTCTCTGTTTCTATGTTTTTATGATAGAGCTATTATTGCCCTTGAGTAAAACCCATTCGCCAAGACCATAATGGAAAGGGTGGAAACAAAAGAATATACTTTGTGCGGGGTAGTATAGGTTATCACACTACCACCCCATTGTCAAATTTCTGAAAAAAATACTGTTGTCTATATACAAGCTTAATGGAAGAGTACTATAGCTGGAAATAATGGTGTTGGTTTGAAACTGTTAGAATATAAGGGTTTTTTTGTATTTACTTATTTGGGCATTAGGTGGCACTGTTGTTTTCTGAAATGTGGAAAAACTGCCAGAATTAAAAATAATCATTTCAAAATTCTAAACTGGCTGTTAATGCTGTCCCATACACAATAGTAAGACTATGCCTGTGTATGACATATCAGTGCTGAATTATTTATGTTAAAAACAAATATACAAATCATGGAAAAAATCTAGAATATACAGTTACAGATATGGCAGTTCCACTGCAGATGTAGTAACAGAGCATATTTCTTCAGTGCACCCTGATCAAACAATACTGCTATTGCACACTGTTGCATATTATGCAATGGGATCCTCAGACTCCATATGGACAGGCTAATAATTTTGTGGAGAAACTTCCTGTAAAAGACTTCCATTCCTTGCGATAAGATTAGTGATGGCAGATGGCACAGAAAAACAGTGCCTTTGACCCAGACCTGATTCTCTGTGAATGGATCCTTCCAATCACAGAGAAAACTGAGATCCAGCTAATCCAGAAGCCGTCTACTGGACGAGGGGACTGAAGTGGTCATTTCCACTTATTCTTCCCAATCATGCAGACCATGGTATCCCTTCCTACACTGTTCCAGAAAATTTCTCAACTCTCTGGAGTAATGTTAGGGTTGAGGTAGGGGAATGCAGGAAGGAGGGGATATCAGTGAAAATTTTCCCCTCCCTATTCAGTTCAAGGAAGGAGCTAGATCATAGAGTTCCACTCTACAGCTCTAGATCCAATGTGACATAATTGCCATGAAACCCAGCTTAAATCACCCAAGTGTCCACAACTGCCTCAATGGGAAAATATCGTTGTTTTTAGAAGCTAACATCCAGCTTAAAGTTTTGCAAACAAAATATCTGCTTCTTCCCAACCCTGGAGGTATGCTAGGTGACCCTTTTGCACTTACAGTGCCCATCTAAATGATCTCTGGTTTCTCTAAGAAAATCCTCCAAATCTATGAGGGACTTTTCCAGACAGAAAAGCACTGAGCAACCCATAGTAAATGACAACCATTCCAAATAAAAAAAAGATACTTGACCAATTTTAAAATGAGAGATGTGCAGATACTCGGATGTAGAGATTTGCCTTGCATTAGATGACGTAGAATTGGCCTTAAAGAAATGGATTCACAGTTTGGAGATGTTTCTGGACACAGCTCTGCACCTGGATGCCTAAATGAGAGCTGTGGCCAGGAGTATCTTTGCCCAGCTTTGGCTGATATGTCAAGTACAGCCATTCCTGGTAAAGTCAAACCTGGTCATTGTGGAACATGCCATAGAACAAGTAACTTGGATTACTGCAGCATCCTCTTCATGGAGCTGCTTTTCTTCAAACATCTCAATTGGTTCAGAATGCAGTAGTGACGATGTTAATAAACATTCGCCATGCTGCACCTATCCTGCAAGAGCTGCACTGGTTGCCAGCTCATTTCCAGGGTGGTCACTTTTAAATCTTGAACTGGTTTCAGTCCAGTATATCTTAGAGAGTGCTTCCTCCCATACCAGCATGGGTGCTTCTGAAGGCAGGACCTCCACTATGCACCACACACTGGCAAAGACTCGGGACAGGAGAAATACTTTTTTGGAGGCTGCCCCCTGATCTTGCCCCACGAAACTCAGTTGACTTCCCTGTTTGGTGTTTTTGCCAGAGGATAAGGCAAACTATCTTACTCTGATGGTCCTTTGTTCTTTAAGGCCAATTCTACCTCATCTAATGCACGGCAAATCTCTACATCCGAGTATCTGCACATCTCTCATTTTAAAATTGGTCAAGTATCTTTTTAATAATAATATTTACCCTTGATGTGTCAGCTCTGTTCTATCTGCGGAGTCCGCCTTCGCTTTTGTTTTGATAGTTCTTTACTACGTAGTTGGTTTTCATTGTTGTAAGCTAAGTGTTGTATTCACGATAGAGGAGCATGGTAAAAACATCTGTGGTTTAGATCCAAGCTAAGTTAAACTGTTCCCATTAAAATCAATGGGGACTAGCTTGTTCCACTTATTTCAATGGGGCCTTAATTCAACTAAGTCTGGATCCAACCCTATGAATCACTAGGTAGGTAGGTAGGTAGATAGATGGATATGCTGTCCTTCACCGGATCTCACTCTAATGCCTGCTGTTTGCAATAGCTTCTGCTGCTATGCTTTGTGGCTTTCTTGCTGACCTCTGTCCATACACACTCGCACACACCCCCCCCCCTTAGAAAGAGGAGAGGGGAGAGACATTATACGCTCAAACTTGCAAAAAAATGTTTTCATTGGCAATTTGAAAGTACCCCATAAACAGTAAGTGTGCTATGGATAAAGAATATATATTTATTTAGAGAAGGTCTGCTGAAAGCCCTGGAGAGAGTTGTGCAATTTAGTGTTTAAACATTTGAGTAAGTATTGCATTAAGCAGTTTTCTGTATTTGGTTCAAAGGCTTCCCTTCCTGAAAGAAAAATTGGATTCTGTAAAGGGATGGCTTTTCATAGCCTTATGTGTAAAAAGCTAACAATGTGTATGGAATTTAAGCTGTGATCCTAAGTACACGTTTGTTATTCTTAAATATTTTATATTGTTATTTTAGTTTGAAATTTAATTTATAGACTTTTCCATCAGTATTGGCCAATACTGTATTGGAGCTGTTGGTTCTAGTTCCCACTCAGACATGAAGTTCACTGGGTGACTTTAATCCAGTCACTTATTTTTGGCCTTAGCTACCTCACAGGGTTCTTGATGTGAGGATTAATTGGAGCAGAAGAGGACTATGTAAGCCACACTGGGTTTCTTGCAAGAGGAATAAAGGCAAGATATAAATGCAATAAAATAATAACTAGGAGAGTACAATCTTGGAATCTTTAAAAGACTATTTGTAATTTTAGGTTTGGCTAGAAGTATCCAAAAAATGATCTGAATACCATGAACTGGATTAGAACCTAAGTATATTCATCTACTTATATTGTTTATATTTGTCCAGCTATCTAGGTAATTAAAAACATACTTTGATATAGCTTGTGTTACTAAAAGAGTGGCCCTGGATCATTTAGATGGCTGGTTTTAAAAATCTGGAACGTACTCTGTCAGAAAACCTAGCTTTGCACAATAGTCAAATTAAAAAAGTAATCCAATGAGTTTCATTTTTTTTAAATGGCTTCCAGTATTTCACACATGAACAAAGGCTACAAAAAAAAAAGCATCCTCCTGCAAATATGTTTGTTTTTCAGAGGGGCATTAACTCCTGAAAAAGTCAACACAAGTAATCGCTCATTAACTAGAAAAACTTTCGAACTGAAAATGTGCAACTTGTTGTTGATGTTAGACTATGTGCAACATGGGCCCTTCCTCAGTTCTAGAGAAACTACTTTGTACCTGAGTGTTGAATGTGCACTTGGGAGTTCCAGTTGCAAACTGACAGAGTGGTTTTCAGCAAATTACTGGCAAGATACTTTCTTAATGAGTGAAAATAATAATGTCCTCATTGGTCAGAGTGTAGAAAGGGGTATGGTGGGGGAACAGAAATGAAGGAAATATTTGAATGAATGAATGAATGAATGAATGAATGAATGAATGAGTGAATGAATAGATCCTCAGATAGCAATTTATTCTGGCAAGCTACTACCTAAGGAAGGAAAGTGAAGCAAAACAGTAAATCATACTTGGGCACAATCTGTCTCAGGCATGAACTGTATTCTTTAAGACTATGAAACTGATTTGAGAATTAACAAGGAAATAATGCTAGCTTAACTGGTTGTGTCTTCCCCAAACTATACCTTACTGGACAGACAGGCAACTCTCTGGTGGTTGCTTTGGCTCTTGAAGCAACTTCACAGCACCCAATGATTACCAAATTCTATTGGCCTACCTACCTTTATGTCATTCACTGGGCAAACCACTATTTTTGGAAGCAGCAATTAATCATATTTGGGAAGAGAATTTCATGTTTTTAATTCACATAGATTTATGGCTAGTATCTTATGATAATACAATACCCATGTTATGAAAACCATTTCTTTTTGTTTTGAGAATGGTTTCCTTTGTCTTCTTTTCTTCCTTCACATGATGTGTCCAAAATACAACAGCTTCAGTTTTACATTTTTTTGTTTCCTGGGCAAGTTCTGGCTTGATTTGATCTAGAACTCACTCGTTCATCCTTCTGTCCAGGGTATTTGCAGTGCTTTAGCATTTCACTGCCACATGACCACATAATTTACAAGATTTTTTTGTTCCTCTACACCCAAGTATTTGGCTAACTAAGAATATCTCTTCATGCTTCTGATGAAGTGGGCTGTAGCACCACAGAAGCATATGCTGGTAATGAATTTCTTAATCTTTAAGGTGTTATGTTACTTTTTCTTGGACAGATCCTATTTTAAGCTGCATCAATATAAGTATCATTTCCAAATTGCATGAAATACTAGTCCCCATTTACTCAGGATTGGTTAGGTCTCATCTGTAGTACTGTGTCCAGTTCTGGCCACCACAGTTTAAGAAAGATGCAGATGAAAAGGGTTCAGATGAAAGCAGCAAGAGTGATCCAGGGACTGGAAACAAAACCCTGTGAGGAGAGATGCTAACAACTGGGCATGTTTCGTCTCAACAATGCAGGACATGGAATAATGGACTCGAGTTACAGGAAGCCAGGTTCTGGCTGAACTTCAGGAAGAACTTCCTGGCTGTTAGAGCAGTATGACAATGGGACCACTTTCCTCAGGAGGTTGTAGATTTTCCCACACTAGAAGCATTCAGGATGCAATTAGACCACCATCTGAACAGGATGGTTTAACTTTGCGTCCTGCACTGAGCAGAGGGTTGGACCGAGTGGCCCTCCAGTCTCTTCTAATTCTACTTTTCTACAACTCTATACCACAAAGGGATTGGACTTACTCAATAAGTTGTTGCCTTAGTACTGGTACAGTGACTCTTTCCTCCTTCTTTTTCACTGCTGTACCTTTTTCCCTTCCCAAAATACAGATGTACTAGTCAGTGATAAACTGAATGCAACATAGAATGCAAGTGCATTTTTATGTTCCTCTCCCTTAAACCAGAGTCTGATTGGCCATATTGGGAAATGAGGAGAAAATGTCGGTGAATGCACCTTTTTAAGGCAGTAAACTATTATCCAGATCATTTAGGCTGCTCCTGCAAACTGTTTAGCTCTCATTGATTGACCTCTGTGGTTTTAAGGAGTCTGGCTATGTGCAGTTTTGCAGCCAAGTATTTATTCAGGCCAAGCTTCCATTGCCACAAGAATGAAAATTAATTGTTTCAGCTTTTAATCCCCTTATGAAACTCAGTTTTAATTAGTGATTCAAATCTTCATGTAAAATTTAAACTAGTAATGAGTTCCAGTTCTCTAAATTTCACTTTGACTTTTTATCTTTGTAGGAATTCACATGCAAAATCCCATCTTAAAGCAGATGCATTCTATAAACCAATGAAATATACCTGGCAGCAAATTTCCTATGATCTTGATGAGGACTGCAGCCTTCAGAAGGAGAAAGAAGAACAGTTTTTTGAAGATGCAGAATTATATAAAAAATACAGGTCAGGTATTCCTATTTTGTGCATAATGAACTGTTCCTGTTTCTTTTCCATTTAAGTTTTTATAGAAATTATTGTTATAAAATGAAAATAATTGTACACATTACAATTGAGTTAAAGTGAGAAGTGGCTACATTTTTAAGAGAAGTTAATAAATCACTGCCTTGATAGCCAGGAAGAGTAGGAAAAGCAGTACTGGGATACAATCTCCAAAATGACAGAATGATCTCAGTTCAAATCCAAGGCAAACCATTCAGCATCACAGTAATCCAAGTCTGTGCCCCAACCAGTGATGCTGAAGAGGCTGAAGTTGACCAGTTCTATGAAGGCCTACAACACCTTCTAGAATTAACTCCAAAAAATGATGTCCTTATCATTATGGGGGACTGGGATGCTAAAGTAGGAAGCCAAAAGATAACTGGAATAACAGGCAAGTTTGGCCTTGGAGTACAAAATGAAGCAGGGCACAGGCTGGTAGAATTTAATCAAGAGAACACACTGGTCACAGCAAACACTCTTTTCCAACAACCCAGGAGACGACTCTATACATGGACATCACCAGATGGTCAACACAGAAATCAGATTGACTATGTGCTCTGCAGCCAAAGATGGAGAAGCTCTATACAGTCAGTAGAAACAAGACCAGGAGCTGACTGTGGCTCAGATCATGAGCTTCTTGTTGCAAAATTTAGGCTTAAATTGAAGAAAGTAGGGAAAAGCACTAGGCCACTCGGGTATGACCTAAATCATATCCCTGATGAATATACACTAGAGGTTACAAATAGATTTAAGGAATTAGATCTGATAGACAGAGTGCCTGAAGAACTATGGATGCAAGTTCGCAACATTGTACAAGAGGTAGCATCTAAAACCATCCCAAAGAAAAAGAAATGCAAGAAAGCAAACTGGCTGTTTGAGGAAGCTTTACAAATAGCTGAGGAAAGAAGGGAAGCGAAAGGCAGGGGAGAAAGAGAAAGATACACCCAATTGAATGCAGAATTCCAGAGAATAGCTAGAAGAGATAAGAATGCCTTCTTAAATGAACAGTGCGCAGAAATAGAAGAAAACAACAGAATAGGGAGAACCAGAGACCTCTTCAGGAAAATTGGAGATATGAAGGGAACGTTTCGTGCAAAGATGGGTATGATAAAGGACCAAAATGGCAGGGACCTACCAGAGGCTGAAGAGATTAAGAAGAAGTGGCAAGATTACACAGAAGAACTATACAAGAAAGAACTTAACGTCCCTGATAACCACGATGGGGTGGTCACTGACCTCAAGCCAGACATCCTGGAATGTGAAGTCAAATGGGCCTTAGGAAGTCTGAGCAACAACAAAGCTAGTGGAGGAGACCGTATTCCAGCTGAGCTATTCAAAATCCCAAAAGACAATGCAGTTAAAGTGCTACACTCAGTATGCCAGCAAATCTGGAAAACTCAACAGTGGCTACAGGATTGGAAAAGGTCAATTTACATTCCAATTCCAAAGAAGGGAAATGCCAAAGAATTTTCAAGTATGTGGACCTAGAACTACCAGAAGTACAGACAGGGTTTTGAAGAGACAGAGGAGCTAGAGATCAAATTGCCAACATACGCTGGATCATGGAGAAAGCTAGGGAGTTCCAGAAAAACATCTACTTCTGCTTCATTGACTATGCTAAAGCCTTTGATTGTGTGGATCACAACAAATTGTGGCAAGTTCTTAAAGAGATGGGAGTACTAGACCATCTTATTTGTCTCTTGGGAAACCTATATGCGGGTCAAGAAGCAACAGTGAGAATTGGACATGGAACCACTGATTGGTTCAAAATTGGGAAAGGAGTTTGGCAAGGCTGTATACTGTCACCCTGCCTATTTAACTTATATGCAGAGCACATCATGTGAAAGGCCAGATGAATCACAAGTTGGAATTAAGACTGCTGGGAGAAATATCAATAACCTGAGATATGCAGATGATACCACTCTCATGGCAGAAAGTGAAGAGAAACTAAAGAGCCTCTTGATGCGGGTGAAGGAGAAGAGTGCAAAAGTTGGCTTGAAACTCAACATTAAGAAAACTAAGATCATGGCATCCTGTCCTCTCACTTCCTGGCAAATAGATGGGGAAGAAATGGAGGTAGTAACAGATTTTATTTTCCTGGGCTCCAAGATCACCACAGATGGGGACTGCAGCCAAGAAATTAAAAGACGCTTGCTCCTGGGGAGGAAAGCTATGGCAAATCTAGACAGCATACTGAAAAGCAGATACATCACCCTGCTGACAAAAGTGTGTATAATTTCCCCAGTTGCAATGTATGGCTGTGAAAGCTGTACCAGAAGGAAGGCTGAGCACTAAAGAATTGAGGCCTTTGAATTGTGGTGCTGGTGAAGACTCCTGCAAGTTCCTTGGACTGCAAGGCGATCAAACCGGTCAGTCCTAGAGTAGATCAACCCTGACTGCTCTTTAGAAGGCCAGATACTAAAGATGAAACTCAAATACTTTGGCCACCTAATGAGAGGGAAGGACCCACTGGAGAAGAGCCTAATGCTGGGAACAATTGACCGCAAAAGAAGAAAGAGACTGCAGAGGAAGAGGTGGCTAGTTGGAGTCACTGAAGCAGTCGGTGTGAGCTTAGGTGGACCCCGGGAGATGGTGGAGGACAGGAGAACCTGGAGGAATGTTGTCCATGGGGCCGCGATGGGTTGGACATGACTTTGCGACTAACATAATAAACATGCTGCCCCTGTTTTTTCTTGTAAAACCTGTTACTTTTCAACAATATTCTGCTCTTCTGTTCCAGCAATTTGTGTAAGTTGATACTACCCAGAATGCAGGCTGATGTGTGTAATGCAGACTGCATAGCTCAAGTTCATGGTGCAGAAATTTCAATTCTACACTGACTTGGTTCACATGATGTGATAACCCTCTGTAGCTTAGCAGCCTTGTAGCTTAGGATGTCCCAACCTGGCACAGTTCCTGCAGTGTAGTGTGGTTCCTTGGCCATTCGCAAGTCACTGGAGAGCCCATGGCTTGTCAGGTGACTTTTTTCAGAGTGGCTTGTCATGACATGAGAACCTGGCACAATGGCTTATGTATAGTTTGTCAGAAAGGCCAGAAAGCTGCCTGGCAGGAGACTGGCAATAATTACTCTGATTTATGGAATTTGTGCAAAACTCCCCATTTTTTGAAAGTTACATTTGTGAAAATGTTCTAAAGTTAAGGAAAGAAGAGTTAAATGTGTTCAGATCTCCCTGTAGATCAAAAATAAGACACACTGGGTTGGTTATTCTGCAAAACAATCCAGGGCATGTCCAACAGACATTAGGCTCACCAAGAAGCTGTTCCCCTTATCCCCCCTCTTACCTTTGATTTTCCCATGGGTATTCCGGGGGACACCATGGCAAGATAGCCAGCTTTCATGATCCCTGTTTTGACAGACACTACATGATCCCTCTTTTGAAAGACCCTTCAAACTGTCTGAACAGCACCTTGGGCAGGCTTTCAGTGGTTGGGAAACATTTTAATTCATTTTTTTTTTAGAATTCTGACACAGCTGTGTAAGTGCAGAAATAAGGATCCTTGTTTAGGCAATGTCAAGGTACCAACCGTGCAGTAGGCACCAACTCTGTACATTGATCCAAAGAGGATCCAAATAGGCTATTTCTTTTATTTGGATTCACTTGACAGCTGTCAGAAAAAAACAAACTATCAAGGGAAAATAAAGGCATGCATAATATTTACTTGCAAAAGGGGGTGACAAGATTTATACCCTTTGCAGTTGGAGCCTCAACTGTCTTTTTTCCTGACAGTCCTCAAGGTGATGCACATTGTTCACTTTTGAAACTCTAACTGCTCAGGCAAAAGATTTTCCAGCTAGTTGTCAAAATCTATGTCCCCTTTAAAGGGTTTTTTAACAGAACAATGTGTAGTTTCTGACTGGGACATCTGAAATTGATATGACATGCAGACCCAGTCATTCTCTAGGTATCCCACGACTAGGCCATATCTGGTACTTTATATCACTCTGTGCAGATATGTTAACACCCTTATTATAGTGGATCCTATAGCAAAGCTGAGGGAAAGTTTAGCGTTTTTCCTTGTTCCCCCACCCCTCGGGGTCAAATCTGGTACCTTCAAGCAATGGATATCCATCTGTGATTTTATTTCCTATTTCAGGTGTTCATATTCTGGACCCATTTCAGTCCGGCTTCAGACCTGGGTATGGTACTGAATCTGCCTTGGTTGCCCTGTACGATGACCTGTGCAGGGAGAAAGACCGGGGGAGTGCATCCCTATTGGTTCTCCTGGACCTCTCAGCGGCTTTTGATACCATCGACCATGGTATCCTTCTGGATAGGCTAGCGGGATTGGGAGTTGGGGGCACTGCTTTGCAGTGGTTCCACTTCTATCTCAATGGCCAATTCCAGAAGGTGGTGCTGGGGGACTATGGCTCTGCGCCATGGCAGTTATGCCATGGAGTTCCGCAGGGGTCCATTTTGTCCCCCTTGCTATTCAATATCTACATGAAACCGCTGGGAGAGGTCATCAGGAGGTGTGGGCTGCGGAATCATCAGTATGCTGATGATACCCAGCTCTACCTCTCGTTCTCTACCAATCCAGGTGAGGCAGTGGCTGTACTGAACCGGTGCCTGGCCAAAGTAATGGGCTGGATGAGGGCCAATAAACTGAAGCTCTATCCAGACAAGATGGAAGTCCTGTTGATAGGTGAATCGGGCTTTGGAATGGGGGACTTTGACCTTGTCCTGAATGGGGTTGCACTCCCTCTTAAGGACAGGGTTCGCAGGTTGGGAGTGCTCCTCGACCCAGAGCTATTGTTGGAAGCTCAAGTGACAGCGGTGGCGAGGAGCGCTTTCCTTCAGCTTTGGCTGATCCATCAGCTGCGTCCCTACCTGGAGAACGACTGCCTGGCAACAGTGATGCATGCATTGGTTACTTCCCAATTAGACTTCTGCAACGCACTCTACGTGGGGCTGCCCTTGAAGACGGTCCGGATACTTCAATTGGTGCAAAACAGAGCTGCCAGGCTGCTGACGGGGACTGGGTGTTGTTCTTATATAATCCCAGTTCTCCATCAGCTCCACTGGCTCCCCATTGAAGTCCGGGCCCAATTCAAGGTGCTGGTTATCACCTACAAAGCCCTGAACGGCTTAGGCCCTGAGGAGCTCCTGTGTCCATATATGCCCTCCTGCCCCCTGAGATCGGCGGCAGAGGCCCTTCTCCAGGAACCCTCTGTAAAAGATATTAGGAGGGTGAGTACTTGGAGGAGGGCTTTCTCTGCAGTGGCACCCAACGTATGGAATGCGCTCCCCAGAGAGACCTTATTTGTTTTTCAGCGCCAGGCCAAGACCTTTTTATTTAAACGCTATTTTAACTGTTAATGGTTTATTTGTTGATTTTAAATTGACCTGGCTGTGTCCACTATTACATTTTATGTATTTTAATTATTTGGTTTTTTGTGAGGGGGGGGGTTGTATTTTTGTATTTTATGTGGGATTTTATGATTGTAAGCCATCCTGAGGCTCATGCGATGGGGCGGCATATAAGTTGTTTGTTTGTTTGTTTAATTAATTAATTAAATTCCACAAAAAATGAAAATTAATGTGTGACCACATTAATGAATGGACAGGAGAAGGACCCCTCTCTTCACTTAGGATTGGTGACAATTAGAGCTGCTTTGTCTTCTAAGTACTCTGCCACCACTCACTCTGAAAGTCACACAAATAATTTTCAAGAATCCCAACAATACAATATCACAAAATGTGAGAAAAAAACCATTCATCGGCTTTGTGGAAAAGAGAAAAGGATCAGGAAAACTGCATGAAGCATTAAAGGAACAGTCAAACATAAGAAGTAATAGGTTTAGAGTTTCATTGATTTCACATTTTACAAAATAGATTGAAGAGGTCTTCATTATTCATTTACCAACAGACTGCTATGTATCATTTGTACTCTCCTTACACTGTGCACTCTCTGTAACAATATGTACTAGTCTGGCTATTCAAAAATCAAGCCAGGCTGAAGAGGCTTGCTGGGCTTCATTCAAATTTGTCTTTCTTATTTTTCAAGTTTCAAGTTAAGCTCAGAGGAGCACAATGCAGCCCAGATAAAGATGGTGTTTGCTCCTGCATGCTGTCTAGAAAGCTGTTTTATGTGATTCAGTCAATGAAATCCTCTGTGTGTTTTCTCCAAGATGTTTCTGTATTTTTCATAAACCTCCTTCTGCACCTTTATATTTCAGCATATCCAATTCTTAATATGTGTGCCCAACTTTCTTTATATTCTTTTACATATTTGACTTCAGCTATAAAGCACAAGCTGTAAAAATATTCTACATATAGGATTTGTCTGGCTTTTTTGTTTGTTTGTTTGTTATCATGAAATGTGATGTTCACAGAACATTTAGAGCTAAATGGATTTTTGCTGACTTTAGGCACCAGCCTAAACTAATGGAAGAATTACAGAAAGCCCATAATCAGCAGTTTGAATTCAGAAGTGGAAAGATTATCAACTGCAGATTCCCAAATCTTGTTTTGGGTGTGGAGAATTCTGATCTGCATTCTGGCACTGAAGTGGTTTTGTTGGAGAAGAAGAATGACGATATCACTCAGCAGTGGATATGGAGAGAGGCGAGCAGGTGCAAATTCACTGGTACTCTCACAAGGATTGCATTGCATTAGCAGCACTCAAATTTTCACCATCGGAAAATATGGTGCAAATCCTTTTCACTTTTTCTTGAAGAGCAGACATTGTGTTTCTTCCAGCTAGTTTTACAGTTCATGGGGTCTCTAAACTATGACAAGAAAAATAAGGGAATAAAAAATAGCTATCATTACAAATTTTTGATTATAGGGCGCTGTACATAATCTTAAGTATGCCACTTTTTCTTTTGGCAATCCCCAAATACTGCCCATACCCTGAGGAGCCTGATCCTGAGCACATATAAGTGTGCTAAGCACATATACTTTCCCTTCTTTACCCTTGCGTTTGTTCTCCTTACTTTTCTGTCTTATGTTCCTTGTATCAGTCTCTTGAGGCAGAGACTTAACATGGTACTGCTCATACTACTGCAACTAGTACATCTATCATCTTCCCTTCTCAATTTGAGGTGGATGAAAGGTTCCTATTAAACATCCTAACAAAGATGAAATGAGGGTAGTACATGCAGAGCCCTGTGTAAAAACAGCTGTTATAGCTCCAAAATAAATTCAATCTGGACGCAAGCCATTCTATTAGCAGGAAATATATATATATTTATAAAAAACATATGATTCTATAATCTTTTGGCTTCTCTCTGACCTTTCTGCACCTAGGACATTTCACCTTGTGATTGACCCAAATCTCGTGCTAGCAGTATCAATGCCTAATATATTGAATGGGTTTCCAAAGATCCCGGCAGAAATGCAAGGGTGTGCTGTCGTCCTTCAGGTAAAGCTCTTTGTATAATCTGCTATCATGGATTGACTTATGAGTGCTACCACTGTGATGGCTTATGTTGAACTGGTCTATTTTAGATCCTGTCAATTGTGAAATACATGTATTTTAGAAAAACTGTGTGATGGATGCATTTGCCTACTTTTCATTTCTTCTGCCACTACCAATAATTTCTGGAACAATCCCAGTGCTATAACAGGGTAGTTGGAATAGTCTATAGCCTTGGTATAGACAGACCAAAAATTGTTCTAAAGTTGAACCAAATACATTAACATTTCTTTAAAATGTATTTCCACCAATAAGGAATTAATTGGCAAATTGGGTAATAACAATATGCATTGTGCAAACTTGTTTAAAAGTTACTGTATCTTTAAGAAAATAAATATCACCCTTGAGCTAATTTATTTCCCAACCATTACCCAATTGTCCTTGTGCTATCTCCTCCCTAGTTAGTACTCAAGCTTAGTTAATCCTGAAGTCTTCCTCCTGGTTAGGGTCTTTTCAAGGCGCACAGAAGTGGTATTTCAGTCACCAGTCTCTGAAGCTTTTGGAGCTGAACTGCTTGTAGATTACCAAACTGGGCTACTTTCTTGTAGAACTGCTGTGAAAAGTCTTCCTCTCCTAGCAGACTTTCTCTGCTGCTTTCTGTGATTTCAGGTCACCTTCTCTTCTCCTCTTTTTCTGTACAGTTACTGTGTGCTGCACTCTGTTGTTCCTGCTGGCTTTTATCAGCTTTCAGTTCTGCCTCTGCTTCCATTTTCCTGGGCTGCTGCCTCGTCTAGCATCAGCTGCTTCTCCCGCAGGCTCTTCTGCCTTATTCCAACTGATTGATCCCAGCTACCCCAACAGGGCAATTCATGGCCCATTTATCACTCCTGCACAGCCTCTCACAAGCTCTCTTGCTGGCAGAGGCTGCCAACACTGCCGCCACATTGCACCCCTTTCCAATGGCTGCTGCCACAGCATGCTCCCACTACACGCCCCTCTCTTGTTCACTGCCACCACACTGGTTCAGCGAAGAGCTGTGTGGTCAAAATAAGTGGGCCTGCAAGAACTTGTCCAGGTCTTGTGAGCACTCCACAGTCATTTCTTCTGGTCCTGTGATTCTCCACAGAGCTGGTGCAGTGGCAGCAGCAAAATTAAGCATGCAGTGTGTAATGTGGTAAACAGGGCAGCTGCTTTAGGAAGACTTACTCATAGTATTTTGACAAATTTTGCCTCAGAATTACTGGTCCTCATGTCAGTATACACAAAGAAAAATGCCAAACAATTGCTTTTGTGTTCAATATATGTAAAGAAATATATGCAACACTTTTCTCTCTTTTGCGCAGGATCTCCTCTTCTGCCAAAAATGGCACATTGTTTCATAGATCTAATGTAATTCCATGCAATGTTTGATACAGTGTTATAAAACATAGATAGCAGCACATAATAAATTTAAACTGTTATCAGGTATCCATACAAGTCTAGGAAGTCCCAAAGTCTAGGACTCATTTATACATTATATTGAAATTTCCCTTTTTAGTATGCAGTAGATATAACTCCAGTCATGTTTATCTCTACCTCATCAAGCTGTAAGACAATTCATATAAACTGACAGCTAATCGCGCAGCTAGTTTCCTGTATTGTAGATTTATGAATAAGAGCACAACACACCAAGAACAGACAGAGGAGAAAGTAAGGCTGGGAGGGAACAAATAGTATTAGATGTGTGCCCAAGCTCGCCCTCTGCCTCTGCTGGCTAGAACCCACCCACGAACAGAACCATTCCAAAGGGTTTGAACTGCACTTTATTACCTATACTTTATGACCATGTAGGTTTATGTTGAAAGCATAATAGAAAGAACTATCACTGGAGGAATTTCTGCAGTACACTACTTTTTCAGCTAATTAATACCAGAAGAATGCACCTAGAGGGAAAGGTCTGTTTGCCAGAGTTTCCTCATTTAAAGATCAGTCCTGTGGTGTTTTCTTCATTGTTCTTTATTGGTTTTTCCATTGATTCAATAGGAGGGCAAAAGGGCTTGGAGTCTGAAGTAGAAAAGAATATTAATGACAGTTTATAGTGAATATCTTTGTATGGCACTGACTGGTATTTATTTATTTACAAGATTTATATAATACTTTGTATTCTAGTATGGACATTTCAGAACAATGAACAATAAAAGATGAAACAAGTAAAAGAATAAAACAATGCTTTAAAAACAAGACCAATATATGTCAAAACCACCATGGCTGGTAAGATCAGGAAAGCTTCCTAAAATAGGTGTGTTTTTAGGAAGTACTGAAGTCAATATGTTGCCTGCTAGATCTCCAAAGGCAAAGAGATCCACAGAAATGGAACTGCTTTGCTGACTGCTCTTTTCCAGGTCAATTCCAGTCAGACTGTAGGACCATTTGGACTCACCAGGAATACACCATCCAATGACCTCAGTTACCAGAAAGTTTGATAAAGGAGAAGGTGATCTTTGTGCCCAAGTTGTTTAGAGCTTTACACAAGTACCAAAACCTTAAACCTGGCCCAGTAGTGAATGGAAAGCCAATGCAGTTCCCTCAGCAATGGATTTGCATGCTCAAAGGGGGCACCTCCTAACAACAGGTGGGCTGATACATTCTGCACTAACTCCAGCTTCCAAACCACCTTAAGACAGTCCCACATAGAGTGCATTGCAACAATCCAGTTTTGAAGTTATTAGCATTAGCACTTGCACCATTGTGACCAAACTATCCCTATTCAGGAGGTTATAACTGGTGAAGCTTATAAAGGTATTTCAAGCTGTTGTGGTCTTTGGAACTCCAGTAACTACAGATCTAGCAGTTCCCCCAAACAGCAACCCCATTCAGAACTGGCAACAAGCTTATCTTCCAGGCTGGGGAACCATTCATCCTCACAGTTGAAATAGACCTATGAGTGCTGCCAGCATTGCTGCAGAGGCTGAAGGGGTGGTGGGTCAGCCTGCCAGTGCTCAGACCATACGCCGTACACTGCATCACATTGGTCTGCAGGGCTGTCGTCCCAGAAGGAAGCCTCTTCTAAAGATGATGCACAAGAAAGCCCACAAACAGTTTGCTGAAGTTAAGCAGACTAAGGACATGGATTAGTGGAACCATGTCCTGTGGTCTGATGAGACCAAGATAAACTTATTTGGTTCAGATGGTGTCAATTGTGTGTGGCGACAACCAGGTGAGGAGTACAAAGACAAGTTTGTCTTGACTACAGTCAAGCATGGTGGTGGGAGTGCCATGGTCTGGGGCTGCGTGAGTGCTGCAGGCACTGGGGAGTTACAGTTCATTGAGGGAACCATGAATGTCAACATGTACTGTGACTTACTGAAGCAGAGCATGATCCCCTCCCTTTGGAGACTGGGCCGCAGGGCAGTATTCCAACATGATAACGACCCCAAACACACCTCCAAGATGACCACTGCCTTGCTAAAGAAGCTGAGGGTAAAGGTGATGGACTGGCCAAGCATGTCTCCAGACCTAAACCCTATCGAGCATTTGTGGGGCATCCTGAAATGGAAGATGGAGGAGCGCAAGGTCTCTAACATCCACCAGCTCCGTGATGTTGTCATGGAGGAGTGGAAGAGGACTCCAGTGGCAACCTGTGAAGCTCTGGTGAACTCCATGCCCAAGAGGGTTAAGGCAGTGCTGGAAAATAATGGTGGCCACACAAAATATTGACACTGTGGGCCCAATTTGGACAGTTTCACTTAGGAGTGTACTCACTTTTGAAGCCAGCAGTTTAGACATTAATGGCTGTGTGTTGAGTCATTTTGAGGGGACAGCAAATTTACACTGTTGTACAACCTGTATACTCACTACTTTACATTGTAGCAAAGTGTCATTTCTTCAGGGTTGTCACATGAAAAGATAAAATATTTACAAAATGTGAGGAGTGTACTCACTTCTGTGATATACTGTAAGTGCGACCCTTAGCTGAGCCTGTGAACCGACTAATGAAGCTCTGTGCTTACTGCCATCAAAACACTCTTAAAAAGTTAGGCCCGTGGCTACATTGTTGTTACAATTCCACTGCTTCAAATGACACCTACTTTATTGATATTTCACTGGCCCTGAGCTGCTTGTGTGGCACACGTTGCTCTGGTAGTGAAGGAACATGTGTCACGTGCTACCTCGCACAGAAGGCTTGGCTCCTTGGCTAGAATTTAAAGCTTGCAAAATGCTGAACTTCATACAGATTTATGCTTTCCTTAATACCAAGCAATTTTTTCTCCCTCTTCTTTTGTATTTCAGCTGGTTCTTACCCATTGCTTAGAGAAAATACTAGAGGAAAAAATATGGGAAATGCAGGGGTCAAAATGATATATACCACTTTATTTTCCAATTTCTTGTATATTCTTTAGAGGCAAAGTTCTGCCAATGAAGATTGCAAAAGTTCTTATGAATGTATGTACAATACTGTTAAATACGAATGTTATATTTGGGCAGAAATACAAAGAATGTAAAAATGGAGCTGCCAATCAGAAGTGGAATTACACAGAAGCTAGAAAGATTCTTAGTGCCTTTTACAGCACAACACTGGATCAAGAAATTACAGCAGCAAATTATGCTTCAGTCTGCACATTTTCTGTGGCCAGCGCAGAGAAAATAGATCAGCCAGTAAGTTATTTTTGATTTCTTTGATAGAAAAGAGTATAATTATCTCCTCTAAATCAGAGGAGTGAATATAAAGAGAGATGCTCACCTTGATATATCTGCACATCTGTACACAACAAGTAGACATATCAAATATGTTACTTCCTGCTACCTTTGAAAGGACAAGAAGAAGGTAGGAATGAGACTTAATCCAACTTCCCTCATTTGTACACTAAGAATGGCTGGATCAGACTATTTCCAGTCAGTGTCAGATTTGCATGTGTTCATTCATAAATGTGCTCCATCCAGCTTCTACATTAATCTCTGATTTTTTTTGTGGAAGTGAGAAATCCATATAAAAAGTCATATTCAATTGTATCAATCTGAAGATATTTCTCACACAATCTATCTTTCTAAATACATTTTCTCTCAAAGCATGCATTTATGAACAATTTTTATCCTAATATAAACATTGTACAGTATATGTTTTTTGGTATATATTTGAAGCTGCAAAGTACATTTGCAAAGTTTAGAAGAGTACAAAATCTGAAGGATAACAGTATTCTAATCCACATACTTTACTCCAGGAAGTATGGGTTAGGTCAGTTTCTTTGGAAACTCAAGCATCCCTATTTTAAGGTGCCACCTTACTTTTGTTTATTTTACTAAACTTTGAAAAGTTCTTTAAAGTTTCACTGAATTGAATGATCAGTAGGATTACTGTTCTGGAATGTTACAGGAATGATTAGAAAGTTGCCTATTTTAATAAACCACAATGCTCTTTAGATTGATACACATACTACTTGGGGTACTTTATATGGGTCCATCCCATGGTGCTGCTTGTAACATTTGAAAACCTGCTACCACTGTGTGGGTATATCCTATCATACAGGTTTCTGTGGCTTTATTACAGTTTACAATTGCAGTGCAGGGAGTCACTCAAGCTGTTGGTCCCATTGAAGTCTAGATGAAGTGTATGTTTCTGAAACATCCAGAAGGCACCTATCAGTTCTATAAACACGTACTTTAAAGAAAAGGCATTGCACCAAACCAGAAGTGTTTACCGAAATAACACTGCTTAGCAGTACAATTATTTCTACATATTTTAAAAAACAGACACAGAAAATGAGAAATCCAAATAGCATGATGTTTAAATCTGATCAGTTTGGGAATGCTTAAAACATACAGAATAGAAATTAGCAAATGGACAATTGGCCTTCTTTCATTGTAAAGACATTAAACTTCTTTTTTTAGGGCTACTATTTTCTTTCACCATGTGGAAAGCAGAAAGTAATGATATGCTTGGCTTGTGCAAGGATTATAAGAGGAAAGAAGGAACTGAAAAAATTGCTCCCTGGTACTATGTTTTTCTGTGCCTCTGGTTCTGAGGAAGGCAAGCACATATCCATCTGGCCCTATAAATGTCTTAATGTTAACAAGGTTTGTGACATCATTGCTTTTTTTTAGTCACACACTACTGTACTTTTGCTGCAATGAGAAAAATAACATTTTTGTGTCTTTCCCTTTTAAATGCTTTGCAACACTGGGGAGCTTCACTTAAATTTCAATATTAGAATACAATTAGTGTCACAAATTTTGTTATTAGGGTAATAGTCTTATAATTTATTGGTTAACAAGAACCCCAAATAATTGTACATGATCTTGGTATCCATTGATTAAACAAAGACATTCTGCAAAAATTATTAATTCAAGAATCCCATTGCTTACTCCTGGTATAGAAAACCATTTCTGAAGTTGAACTCTTGCTCATATTAAGTCCTGACCATGATCAAGACTTTGTTTATCATCCATGGGTTCCCACTTACAAAGCTACAGTAGTAGTCTACCCCACAGAGATACTATAAATTAATTAGCTGTCGGTGTAAAGGAAAATTAAATCTCACTAATTATTTTAAATTATTTGTGTTGTTGTTGTTGTTAGTCGCGAAGTCGTGTCCGACCCATCACGACCCCATGGACAACACTCCTCCAGGCCTTCCTGTCCTCCACCATCTCCTGGAGTCCACCTAAGCTCACACCAACTGCTTCAGGGACTCCATCTAGCCACCACATCCTCTACTGTCCTTCTTTTGCCATCTATTGTTCCCAGCATTAGACTCTTCTCCAGAGAGTCCTTCCTTCTCATTAGGTGGCCAAAGTATTTGAGTTTCATCTTCAGGATCTGGCCTTCTAAAGAGCAGTCAGGGTTGATCTCCTCTAGGACTGACCGGTTTGATCACCTTGCGGTCCAATGGACTCACAGGAGTCTTCTCCAGCACCACAATTCAAAGGCCTCAATTCTTTAGTGCTCAGCCTTCCTTATGGTCCAAATTTCACAGCCATACATTGCAACAGGGAAAACCATAGCCTTGACCATACGCACTTTTGTTGGCAGGGTGATGTCTCTGCTTTTCAGTATGCTGTCTAGATTTGCCATAGCTTTCCTCCCCAGGAGCAAGTGTCTTAATTTCTTGGCTGCAGTCCCCATCTGTGGTGATCTTGGAGCCCAGGAAAATAAAATCTGCCGCTACCTCCATTTCTTCCCCATCTATTTGCCAGGACGTGAGAGGACAGGATGCCATGATCTTAGTTTTCTTAATGTTGAGTTTCAAGCCAACTTTTGCGCTCTCCTCCTTCACCCGCATCAAGAGGCTCTTCAGTTCCTCTTCACTTTCTGCCATGAGAGTGGTATCATCTGCATATCTGAGGTTGTTGACATTTCTCCTGGCAATCTTAATTCCAACTGGTGATTCATCTAGCTCCGCTTTTCTCATGATGTGCTCTACATATAAGTTAAATAGACAGGGCGACAGTATACAGCCTTGCCGAACTCCTTTCTCAATTTTGAACCAATGAGTGGTTCCGTGTCCAGTTCTCACTGTTGTTTCTTGACCCGCATATAGGTTTCTCAGGAGACTAATAAGATGGTCTGGTACTCCCATCTCTTTAAGAACTTGCCACAA